GTCCACCCCTCTGCTGCAGCTCAGGGGATGACCAACACGGGGTTCCCTGTAATTAGCACTCACAGCATCCCCCTCTTAACGGCTTCCTGGAACGCAGGCCTGCGTCTCCGGTTTCTGGCTCTGGAGATCCTGACAGTTAAAGGCTGCCTGGGATGGACACAGCACAGGATGAAGTGAGCAGGCTGCTGGGTGAGGCAGTGCCCTTGGCATGTCCTCGAGGGTGAGGCAGTGTCACATTCTGTGATCTCCGAGGAGGAGCAGCCTCGAGACAGGGACTTGGGGCCAGAAGTGCATCTGGGCAGTGACGCTGGGCATGCTGGGAAATGGAGCGTGGACGGAGCCAAGCCAGGGCCGGCGCCCCACGAGCAAGTGACCGCCGGGGGCCACTGGGCCAAGTCCAGCCAGGAACCCTGGGAGGGCGTGGAGAACGTGCCAGAGCCTGCCTGAGGTTTGTCCCCCAGGGGCAGGGAAGTGAGTGTTAGTGTCCTGGTCCCCACCTGTCCTGAGCTGAGCATCGGCCCCCGGGGGGGTTTCATCCCTGAACTCAGAGGAGCCAAAAGTCGCATGAGCCCAGGTGAGCCAGGTGACCTGACGGTGAACGCAGACGTGAGCAAGGGGCCTGCCTGCTGCCTCCACCTGGGACCCCGACTTCCACATTTATCTCCCAGTGCTCACAGTATTGCACCAATTTCAGTGTTTTTTCTACTTTAATGAATAAATAAAAGTTTACACTATTATTCCACAATATACTCAGCTGACTTAACTCAAGGGCTGCCTTTACATTAGGGGAGTATGACCCCATTCTAGGAATTAGAGTGGGAGATTCGTGTCTCATCGCTAACGGAGAGGTGACAATGTCTGAAGAGCTGGTCGCCAAGGGCCATGGCAGCCGTCAGAGAAGGGGCACCGGACAGCACCGAGTCCGGGGCAAAATGGCGTGAGAGTCGGGTAGTAACGAGCTGTTACTGCGCCACATCGGTGGGGCTGCCAGCCAAACAGTCTCAGGGACCCGCAAAGGTGCTGCTGGGAGGACACGCTGTGCAAAAGTGACTTCCTCAAGAGCAATCAGATGTGGGTTGAGAATGTGTAGGCTGCAGGAAACTGCCCCACACGCACAGAAACAAAACATCACTCATCGAGAGGGTCGTCAGAGTGTTACCAAAAGTAGCCACATCGAAAAAGTCACTAAATGAATAAAAATGCAGGATTTTTGAACTGACAATGAATTGAATATCATGCCCTCATCAAAAAAGTTTTCCAAAAATTTATATTAATATTTTTCAATGCTTAAAATGAGAAAACAATATACAAATTTATAAATTAGAATGAAATTCTAATGAAATTTATGACTGTATATTAAATAAATATTGCTTAGCCATGTTCAACTACAGTTCAATATTCATTACTCTATAAGATAAAAATGTTCATTCCTGGTGATTTTTAAAAAATGTATTATTTAAAAAAAAAGACTGGGAGAAAATGTACCCAGCTGATATAATGACTGTCTCTTAGGGGAGGACTCCAGGTGGTTTTTCTTATTTATACCCTTAATATTTTGCAAATTTCCTATAATAAGCATGCATTCCTTTATAGCATAATTTTATTTTGTTAGTGGTATCATCACGTGTCCTAGGAGCTTTGGAAGCGTTGCCATGGGAACGAAGCAGTTAAGCTTCCCAAGGAGCAAAGACGCACTGTGTGGAGCAGGCACTGCAGTGACACGGCTGTCATCTCCTCATGTCCAGGGCCACCGCCCCACCACATGCCACCTGCCCCTGAGGACGACCGAGCCCTCCCAGCATGTGTGCCGGCCAGAGTGTGATGACAGCTCCTGAGAGGCCACAGGGCTTACGCATCTGAGGGAGGGGGTGGCAGATGGGGTCTCCTGCTGTTGGGAGAAAGCGCCCGCTGCCCTGGTAGCTGAGGCCCCCAGTCAGCAGCCCCTGTTCACATGCACCAACGTGACCCTGAAATCCGCATGATCATGGCTGTCCTAGTGCTGTGGGGACGGTCGCAGCCTGGCCATGTGAGTGTGCTGTCTGTGAATTCCTCGTTCTAACAAACTCAGATCCCTCCTTCAGGGGGCTCAGCCGCCAGGCTCCTGGGGGCTGCCCACTGCTGGGGAGTGGGCTGAGGGTCACCCACAGAGGGGCCCTGAGAGGACCTCACCCAGTACAGCCCCGAGTCCCTGAGCCAAGATCTAGGGCTCTCGGAAGATCCTTTCTTTCCTGGTCCCTAGGAAAGCCACCTTATTTCTAGAGGATGTTTTGCAGAAGGAAGAAGCTCTGTGTGAGTGAGTTGTCTTGAGTGCATTTATCTAAATAGGCAGCATTAAATTAATAATCTTCTATTCAATTAAACCTGCCCCTTTATAGACAAAAGTTCAAAAGAAAGCTCCATTGTGGTTTGCAGAGTAAAACAAAATAAAAACAAAACCTTCCGCGAACCATCAGTTGCATGCTACAAAAGCACAAAACCGCAGTTCCTTCCGCACCCACAATCCCCCGGAACGCCCCAAGCCATGCCCTTAGCAAACTCCCAGAAACCCACAGGACCGAGCATCGCCGTTCCACGAGTCCATGGATTTCTGAACTGAAGCACAACTGCAATAAAAAATCTCGTTGGCCAGTCCATAAAAAATGTGACCTTTCTGTGCCTCATTCTGAAGCAACTAGAAATCTCATGGGTTCAGCTCTCACGTCCTCACGAGCGGGATTGACGTCTACAACCTGCTGGCATGTTTGAATGTCCGAAAGTCACAAATGGCAGCATTGCGCTGCCATCAGCATTAAGTACAGGTCTCTGCTCTCCAGGAGCTGCATTGGGCTTCCTCGGAAATCCTCAGGAGAAGGGGGTTGAGGCTGCACCCCAGCCCTTCTCCCCGGAAACACCCGCCTCGGGGGCGGGGGCCTCACTCCCTGCCTTGTTTTGCTCACGTGTGAGCCTGAGGCTGAAAGGGGCATCCAGGAGGCAAGCGTGCACCGAGAACCAGAAGCCACTCAGCCAAGACCACTGGGATAAACTCAAGAGACCACATACACCTCGCCCGCCAGTGTCCCTGCACGAGGCGGGCCCTCGGGCAGCCTCTTCCAGCTCCCGTGCAGGGCGGTTTGATGCTGTGATGGTGAACTGGGCCTGGTGGCTATCCAAATCAAACAGATGGAGATGTAGATATGAATAAGGTGAACTCAAAACGGGGGCAGGCGGCCCGGACCCGCCAGGGGCTGTGGCCTCGCTCCATAACTGGGCCACGTGAAGGGGCACAGAGCGGGCGTGTGTGTGGCATCATGTGGCAGCCAGAGCAGGGCAGGAGGGCGTCTCAGGGAAGGGGCCCCGTGCCGACAGTGGAAGGAGGGGCTGGGGGTGGATGAGACCTAGCAGGGCAGCCTCCAGGGGTGGCGACCAGCGGTGACATTGGATACAAGCCTCCAGGACACGAGGCCAGTGTGATGACACTGAACGAGCGACCCCATCGGGTGGAAGGGACAGTGTCTAAGTGGCTCCATGTCCTGTTGACACCATCCCAGGACGTCTGGACAAAGGCCACGCAGACAGCAGACCATTTATCTGAAGCAGGAAAGAGCGCCCGGAGCTCCACCCCGCGTACCGGGTCCTTTCGTCCGGGTTGGCTAAGTGGGTTATGCTGACAAGTCTCGGGTGCTGAAGGGGGCGAGGCCGGGTAGAGTGGAGGCTGCAGCTGAGGGCAGAGCAGAGGGCAGAGCACAGGCCTGGGGCTGGCGGCCCTCCCACCTGCTGGGCAGAGTCCCCCGGGCCTCGCAGGGCAGTGCACCTGGGGGACGCCGGCCGCTCCCCAGGCATCCCACGTGCAGGACTGGTTTGCTGAGATCGCCTCCAATAAAGCAAGGTGTGTGGCGAGAAGGGACTGCGACCCTTTTTAAAATAACATTTCAGCCTAATACGTATGTATAGTTTTAACATAACATGTTGAATAACAACACAGCCCCCACCTGCACAGGGACTACACCTGGGCGTGTCCTGCTTTGCACGTCCGTGTTCCTTGGCCATATGCTAATACAGGATGACACATTTTACTCCTGAGCCGGTGACTAGATAAAGCCACAGGTGCGTTAAAAGACGGAGCGGAGGACGCGTGTCCGTCGTGTCCGTCGGGAGAGTGGCCGGGAGGACTCTGCTCTTTCTCGGAGCTGGGGCCTCAGTTTCCTGCTCCCCAGGGCCCCTCGCTGCCCAGCGGCCAGCGCTCCAGCAGACGGAGGGGCCCTGCTCCGGCCCTGCCCTGTGGGCTGGGTCTCTGCACGCAGCCCCTTGGCCCTTCCCCGGCTCCAGCGGCACCTCCTGACATCGGGGGAACCTGCTGCTGAATCCCGGAGGTTACAATTATCACCACACAGTGTCCCCTTACTGCCTCGGTGCTCCCTCCCATGTGTGGGGAAACCCCGCTGGGCTAGCCCATTGCATCATCTGATTTCACACCCAAAGGCCAAAGCAGGAAATAAAAGTCGCTAAGAGAAGATTTGATTATAAAATGCTTTTTCCCCATTAAGGTCAAAATGAGATTTAGTAGTCAACCACAATTAAGACATCCTAAAAACTGAAAATAGTTGGACCAATCCATAGGTGTGACAGTCCCTACTCGAGTAAGAAAACCACAGGGGACAGCCCTTTGCAGGGTGTGGCCCCCAAACCTGGCCGGGCTCCAGCAGGAGCCTCAGCCCCAGACAGATGCTCCTTTACGTAATCCGGTGGCCGTGCCTTCCAGGAGACCACCCCGTCCCCTCCCAGGGCTCCATGTCAGGTGGAGAGAGCTGCCTGACGTGCCGCCCACACTTCCAAACCCTCCTTTCTCCTCAGGACACACAGCGGGGGCTCCTTTTCGTGCTGCTTTGGCCTCCTCATGTGGCTCCTGAAATTCACTCGCCCTCCTCCCCTGGACTCAGGAAGCAAGGAAAGGGACCTCGGGCTGTGGGGACAAGGACTCCGCTCCTCGCTTCTGAGAGCTGGTCCTGGTGTCCACTCCTTACCCCTCTCTCCAGGAGCATGTCTCGGAAGTGGGTCACCCTCTCCTCCAGGGGTAGCAGGATCTGGGGCGGTGGCGTCCTGGTGTCCTTGTCCCCTTGGTCCGCCTCCTCGGGCTCAGGGTTCATGTGGCCTTCGGTCCTTTAGGGCACAAGACACAGCAGGTTAAACACGCCCTGGAGACGCAGTTGCTTTTCACCACAGCCTGTAAAGCCCTCCGGGTAACTAAGAAGCACGGCCGCTTACTCTCTGAAAACTCTAAACCCGGTGCAGCCAAGCAAAGGTGACGCTGTTGCCTGGGTGATGCCACAGCCTTGCTGCATCCCAGGTGGGAAGCTGAGCTGTGGCCCTAATCCATGGGCAACAGCTGGGCACGAGGTGTGCAGGGGGCACCCAGGGCAAGTGTGCCCGCTGCCACCCAACTGCTAGAAGGACGTAGAGCGCCCCCGCCTCACTGCCCATGTGCGGTCATCACCCAAAGGGGACGGGTGAGCCCTCCATCCGAGCGAGTCACCGGGGCTCGAACCCACTTCCTTTCTTTGAGAGGGAGGCCTTCGTTTCGGACAAATGCATGGAAGACAGTATGGGGAGAGTCCATCAACCCTCTGGGTGCAGAACGCGTCCTGAGGTCTAACCCAAGGCAGAGAAAAAGAGTGACAGCAGGCAGGTGGGACCCCAGGAGCTGGTTGACTAAAGCCCCTCCCACCGTTCACGTCCGGGCTTCCTGACATGTATCCAGCAGCGCCCTCCCCAGGGGCGACTTTGCTCCTGGGGGAACTTGGCAGTGTCCGGACACATGTGTGATTGTCATAGTGGAGGAAGGCCCACCTGTCTCTAAGAGAGGCCCAAAAAGCTCCACGCAGAGCAATACCCAGGCCAGCCCCTCAGTGCGGTTATCTGGGGACTCTCAGGACAAAGTCTGCACTAGTCCTGCACTTGGGGACCAGGAGATAGGACCGTTCAAGGTCATGTGGTCACGAGGGGGCCAGAACCAGGTGAATCCCCACCTCCAGACACCCGCCAAGCTTGTGGCTTTTCTGTCGCTGTCCAGGGTCCTGAGAGTCTGTCAAACACCCAGCTCAGGGCCGCTGAGACCACCCCCCATGTCTGAGAACGTCCCGTGTCCTGCGAGGGCTTTCCCTCACGGGGGGCGGCAGATAAAGTAATTCACCCTCATTCAAAGTGCACTGTTTATCCCACAAGAGAACCTTATTCACAGACCAGCCATTCCAGGAGAACTTACACTCTTTACTTTTTTTTAAAGATTTTTTTATTGGGGAATTGCGGGATGGGAACAGTGCTGGGGAATTGGGGAAGGGGAACAGACAAGTTGCTGTCCTTTTGTTCTTCAGTCTAGTTGTGGAGGACGTTGCTTCACTGGCCCACGCTGGCACCATCATTGCGCTCTTCCTGGGTGAGGCAGGTCACTCGCCGGCTTCTGGACGGCCACTCACACTGGCTGCTGGCTACACACGGTAGCCCATGGCAACCCACTGCCACAGGGGCTGCAGCCTATGCCGTCGCCGGCGACTCAGGGCAGCCCAGCTCCAGGTTGAGCTGTTGTTCAGCATCTTAACTGTAGAGGGCAGCGTCACTGGCCCTCATGTGGGATCTGAACCAGGGCCCTCTGGCGTCCCAAGCCAGCTCTTAACCACCGCGCCACTTGGCCGGCCCCTACACTCTTTATTTCTTAGGTGATTATGTGGAACTTGGAAAAAAGAAAATTACCTGAGGATTGCAATTGTATCATATTACAAGGAGTATAATTAGGATTTCTTTGTAATACATCTTCATTAGTTAAACACAGAAGTGTGAAAACAAGCCTTGCATTGCTGTAACTTGAAATAAGATTAATAGGAGTGTTGTAAGCTCGCTGATGATCATGTATTAGGGCTTATTCCATAAAATAGTCTGTTCAGAACCACCGGGTGCCCTCCAGACTTTGAAGCAATTAGTCCAGTTAGAATTGGCCAAAAGCAGATGCAAACTTTCTAGGTATATTTTTAATGTTCTCGTGGCTGAATGATTGGGTACCTTCAACTAAAAGTAAATTCTAATGCTTTTTATAAAGGTAGCTCAAGCCAAAATTGTGCTGAAGGTGAGCGCAGCGTCCCTAAGGTCACATCTTCTGGATACCCAGGCCTTGCTGGCTGCATGGGGCAGCGGCTGGCCTCTCACGGGGACACGGTTTTACTGCCTGGTAGAACCTCGCGAGGCTGACGCAGTGCTTTGGGGAATGTCCCAGGTCACGTGTGTGGGTGGGCAGGGGCTGGGTCCTGCCCAGGCAGGTGCCCCCCAAGTCTGGGGCCGCAGCGCTGGGGTCTGTACTCCCAGGGCAGTGCCTCCCTGCCTCTGTCCCTGACCCTCTGGAGATGTGTCATGGTGGCCACAGGAGCGCTTTTCCCCCAATCTGCCCTGATCCCCTTTGAGCTTGTCCAGCTGAATAGCTAACGACGTGTGTGGACACACCCATGTCTGTCCCATGTCGCTGAGCCTACAGCCTCAGGGTTTTCTGACTGTCCATGTGCAAAGGGCAGCACATTTTCTGGTAAAATGCACTAGACCCCAACTCAGTGCCTCAGGGTTCTAGGCACAGCAAGTCTGGCTTCATTTCCATTTTATGAACAAACTTTAGTTGGTTGATCTGGGGCTAAGGGATCTCAGGCCACCAGACCGGGCTCATCGACTGTGTGCCCAGGGGCCACCTCTCAGACTCACAAACACACCTCTTTCCACCCTGCAGATCCTTCAGTGGAGCCATCCGAGGTCAAAATATTCACCTTTGCAAAGAAATTACAACCACCAAACCGCTGCCCATGCAGACAAAGAAAAGAGGCTTTTTATTGTCCAGTCTATGAGAGAGGAAGAGAGAAAGAGAGAGGAGAGAGAGGAGAGAGGGGAAGGGAGAGGGAGAAAAAGATAGACGGGGGAGAGAGAGAGAGGAGATAGGGGAGGGGGGGGGAGGGGAGGGGAAGGCTTTCCCAGCAGGTACACTCTGGGGAAGTTTATTTTTCAGTGGAGTCTGAGGTGCCCGCCCGTGGACTCAAGTGTCCTCAGCGCCTCACCCAGGTAGATGGCAGCATGGGCTATGCCTGGATGCCCAGGGTCCGTGACTTTGGGTAGATGCACAGAGGTCTGTCCATCTCAGGGTCCCCATGCGAGGACAAACAGTGCCCGCCCTGGCTCTGCTCTGTCTTCCTCTCCTCCCCGCCTCCTCCTCTCCTAACGCTGCCATTTGACAGCCTCTGTAGAACACAACACAGTCCGTTGGACAGTTGCCGGAAGCAGAGCAGGAGAGGAAGAGAGCTGCAGCCGGGCGGGCGTGAGGGCTGAGTGCAGCCTGGGATTCCGTGTGCATGAAGGAAACGCAGGTCCCAGCGAGCGCTGCTGGCTGGAGCAGAAGCCGGGGTGCGTGGGCCGGGTGCGGGGAGCTGCAGGCCAGGGCCGCTGGCTGTGGAGCTCCGGGCAGGCCAGGGCTGCCCTCCAGACTTTGTTGTTGGTAAAACGCGTGGTTTGGGCCAGATGCTGTGGAAGTGCCTCTGGCACTGCAGTCCTGTGATGCAAATGCTATCCTGCTCGTTTTGTTCCGTTGAAATATTTAAACACCATGATTCTTCCATCAGCATTAGCTCTGCCTCCCAGGTCTGCGGTTTCTATAAATTTGATAAACAGGCCTCCTGCATCTTCATCCAGCTTGTTCATAAAACATCAGCAGGAAATGCCAAAGGCATTGGTCCCCCCAGCCTGGGCCCTGCAGGGGACAGCTGCGCCCCCAGCCCCCAGGTCTCCCGGGCCCCCACACAGGAGGGGTGTGGCCTGACAGTGCCAGTGACAGGAGCCCGGAGGGCGAGCAGAAGGACCGTCCTGTGGTCCCTACTGAGCCTGTCCAGACTCGTTGCTCTGTTTTTCTCCTTGGCCAGGGTCCCCCCTGGGTGTGAGGCCCAGGGACAGCGTTCAATAGTCCCCCAGGACCCGATGGGGTTCCATGCCCCTCGCTGCCTCTGGGGGACATGGGCATTTATCCTCCAGACCCCACAGAGCTGCAGCCCGCCAACCCACGTCCCCTGGACACGCGATGACCCCTGGTGCCTGTTTCCTCATGTGTTTCCAGAGCTCATCGTCCCAGGTGGGCACGACAGTGGCTGCCACCTGCTGGAAACGGTTACATTGCAGGTACAGCACGTGCAGCAGACTCTCATCCCTCACAGCAGCTCAGGGCTGGTAGCCACGTAGGTCCCCATCGCTGCGTCCCCATCGCTGCGCTGCATTCCCGGTCACTGCGTCCTCTGGCTGCTGACTGCGCGCTGGTGCAGACGGCACATGACCCTGTGGCCCTCGGTCCACGTGTGGCCACGTGCTGTGTGTGTGGCCTCGGACGCATCTCCAGGGTGCATTTAGAGTCCCTCTTACCAGGTTCGGCGCTACAGAAGACCATGGAGGGAGTACTCGTGTCATATGTGCGCCCCCCTCACGAACGCAGGCCCAGCATCCCCTGGGCTCCCAGGGCAGGGCCGGAAATGGCCGTCACCCCTCCTCAGCTCTGGGACCCTCCCGGCAGTCCTCCTGGGTGACTGATAACAGTAACTAACAGATACAGAGCAGGCAGCATTTTTTCTTCCAGTTCCCATGGGGCGCTCTGAAGGAAATGCCTGTACTATTCCCACGTCACAGATGACAGAGCTGAGGCAGAGCGTGAGGCCCCTGGCCCGGGTCATAGAGACACATCTGCAGGTTTCAGCCATGCCCCCGACTTCACGAGGGCCGAGAGCCATGCAGAGCCTAGAGCTGTGTCCTCAGGCTCTGGAACCCGCCTGGCCCAGGACGCCTGCGCTGTAGGGCGTCTGTTAGCTTCCAAGGGCCACCTTAGTCCCTCAGGGTATGCAGCTTAAATGACAGACACTGCGCATCCCAATTCTAAGGCCAGAAGTCCCAGATCAGGGTGCGGGCGGGGCTGGCCCCTTCTGAGGCCCTGAAGGACCACCCACTGCAGGCTTCTCTTCTAGGTGTGGGGTCTGCTGGCATTTTGGGATCCCTCGACATGTGGACACCCCACCCCCCATCTTCATAGGACCGTCTCCCTGTGTGTATCTGTGTCCAAATGCCTCCCCCCTTATAAAGACACCAGTTCTACGGGATTAGGG